CTATGAAGAAGAGTTCTAATTATATATTCTGATTAAGAATATTAGAAACAGAAGAAAATGAAAACAACTAGAAAAACTCTCCTTAACTTGGACCTTTGCAACAATGGTATATCTTTTCTTCATTTTTTTTTTGTTTTCTTTTTTTTGAAAAGTGGAGATTTGGCTCATCTTTATCAAAAGATTGATATTGTACATTACTTCTTTTTATGATTACATGCTTGTTTGGATATAATGAATAAGAAATACAATAAACATATAAGTCAGCTAATCATGTGGAGTAGATTAGAAAAGGATTTAATTCAGAAAGATCAAAAATATATTAAGATATATATATATTCCAAGACCATGTATATAATATTTTTAAAAAAAAGAGTTATAGGGGTTGATAAAGAATTGGACTACTTAAGTGTACTCTAAACCTTGGCATAGTATTCCACCTACTTAAAGATTTCTTCTATACAGAAAGTGCCCAGCTCGAATTCTGTTCTACAAATGAATACAGTTCTCATTCTGGTTAAGGGTACCTAGTTTCTAGAGAATAACCATAGTCTATAAAAATATGAAAACATTGTAATAAGCAGCAATTGTAGAATAGAGTTTTATCCTATTAGCTGGTTTCTTCCTTTATTCTCCTTATAGATTAGTTTTATTTTCTTTTTGTTTAGTTTTATTTTACTCCCTATTTTCGTTTCTTCCTTTCCCAACTTTAAAATCATTTTTTTTTTGTTTTTCTTTTCTCTATAAGAAGATGTCTTCAAATTGGTAGTATTTTATTGTAAGACAGAAGTCAGATGAGTCATAATTTCTAGTCCTAACTGGATTAGTGTACCAGGTTACATTTAGGTACTATTTGGATGGCTGGATGATAGTAAACTTATAAATTAAATAATATTTTGTATTTACATATGTAGCTACAAATAGTTTAATAAAGTACTACTATAACTGCTTAAGGGAAAAAAAATATATGTAAAATATTATTATAACAATTATTAAAAAATCAAGAATAATAATATCTAAAAGTAAAAATTTTAATCAATCAATTTTAATATATAGTATAAGTAAACTATTTATCATAATTTTGTAAATAAACTAAATAAAAAATTAATTGGCTTAAAAAAACTTTTAAAGTTGAGCAGTTTATTTGTAAGTTTATTCTTAGAACAAATTGCAATTTCTGTTAATAATATTGAAATAATTATATTTACAAACTGAAATATTTTTAATATTGCTAATTTATCTTTATTTTTTGCACTACTATTATTTAATATTTCATACTATATTAGTAATTTTTTATGAATATCAGATGCAATTGGTCTATCAATTTACTAATTAGATATAACATTCAGAATGCCTTTAATAAATTCAGAACATAATCTATAATATATTTTTATAATTAATGTTTTATTATATTTAGTATTATAATAAGAAAATCTTTATATAGATATCTTAGATATAATAATACCAAAACTATAAATATTGGCTACTATTGTACATAGTTGTTTGCTTAACATTTTTGGTACAATATAAGATAAAATGTTACCTTTCAAATTAAAGTTATTTTTTTTTATATAATCTTAGATTAGCAATATAAGATATTAGATCACAATAAACATATTAATTTTATAATATATTACTATTATAAAAATCTTCATAAACATATTTTACTTAGTATACATTTATTAAATTTTTAGAAATATTGACAAGTTGGTTTAATTTTACTTTGTAACTATAATTTTTAAAATTTAAGAATAAGACATTATAAAGACTTTTTATATTTGTATATTGAAATATTTATTATATGTTGTGTTTTGAGTTAGTTATATACTTTAAGATTATTACTTACTAATCAAAATTCTATATAACTTTTAAATCTGTTAATTTTAAATAAAAATTTATAATGTTAATAGTTTACAATTTATTTATATTAGATCATAAATTAATTATTTTAACTTCACTTAAAAAATTCATTTGTGAAGCAGATAAATTTTAGTACAATTACACATAATGTTGTATATGATTGTATAAGCTTACCAGAAGTATATAAAACTGTTTTTTTATTATCTAGCTATATTGCAGAAAATATAGTGCCAAATTCTCTTTTACCAATTATTTGAATATTAACTAAACTATTAAAAAAAATTTATTCAATTATATTATATTAAAATTTTAACTAAATTGAATTTGTAATTTTTGAAAAATAAATTTTTAAAGTTTTATAAAAAATTACTATATAATACAAAAATTATCTATTATATAATAATTTTTGTATAACTTTTGTATAATATTATAATTTTTTATAAAATTTTAAAAATTTATTTAAGAATATAGTAACTTAGTAAATAAGTCATTAATCTTCCAAGTAATAGATTAGGTGTTCAAATCACATCAACAGTAAAAATTTAAACATTTATCTATATAATATTCATATTATAATAACTGTTCTAATAATTAAATTAAATTATATATAATAATAGTTATATTAGTATAACTAGCAGGTTATAAAGCATCTGTGTAAGTATACTAATTATACAGAAAAATGCAAACTAGTATTAGGTAGTGCAAATTTTAAATAAGTTCTTGTAATTATATAAATTTGTTGAAATTAAAAAACAAAAATCTATTTGAAAGATTCAAGTAAAGGAATAGCACAGATCTTTAATAGTGCTATTGTAATGGTAGTCTTATAAAACAAATACCAATATTGAAGTATCTAAATAGACAAGAACCTTTAGGTTAACAGTTCCAAAAATACTACCAATTAGGCCACTAAAATAGATCAGGAAAAAAAGATATCAAGCTAATTTAAATACTAAAGAACTAGTTATAGCTCTATTAAGTATATAAATTAAGAGTCTAAAAAACAGACAGAAGTATAGTAAAGTATTATAGATTTGTTACAAAGTACAGAAGTAGATTCTGAGATTTAGTGAGCTCTTTAAAAGCATAGTAGTTTAATGCCAACTTTGATTGCAAGTATTAGTTCTGTTATAGCAATATCATATTAACTTTAAAAATAAATACAAAAGGCTCTAGAAGGTTTATTTTAAGAAAAAATAGTTCAAAGATTGAGATAATAATTTGGACATAATCTATTAATATTAATACTAATACAGATTTAAAGAGTTTAAAATAAAACATTCAAACAGAAGTGTTAAATATAGCAATTGATAGAAAATCTTTAAACAGACACTTTAAATAGGTAATATAAAAAATTATATATATAACTAATTGTATACTCTTTCTGTAATAGTTTACAGAATTACATTATCGAAAAAATCATTAATAAAAGTCAAAGACCAAGAAGTTTACTTTAATATTAAAAAAAAACTTTATTTTTAAAAAACTACTAATTCAATTTGTTTTTTTTTAGTTTCAAGAGTGATCTTATTGTATGTTTTTTTATTATTAATAATGTATAATTATATGTTTATATATAATGTATATTAACAAAAGTACAACTAATTACATGCATAACTTTAGTCATTATCTAATTAAAGATTCTGCATATAGGTTATCTACTAAATGCCATACCTGAGAAACTACCCCAACAACATCCTGAAAAATTCTGCAATATGTGATGTGCTAGCCAATTAGATTGCTGGATTAGCACATGATTGACAATAAACATATCACGTACATAAGTACAATATGTTAAATTTTAATTTTTTCAAAAATTTCTAGCAATAGTTTCTTAACGATTACTAGGATAAATTCAAAATTTTTTTTTTATTTTAATCCTATAAACATGTAAAATAAAAATAAAAATAATTATCAGGATTAGCTTGGTAATTATCAAGAAATATTTGTATAAATTTTGAACATCTTTAAAAACATTTAAAGTGAAAGACATTATTTGTTATTTTATAAAATAAAAGGTATTATCTGTTATTTAATAAAGTGAAAAATATTATCTGTTATTTAATAAAGTAAAAGATATTATCTGTTATTTAATAAGTGAAAGATATTATCTGTTATTTAATAAAGTAAAAAATATTGTCTGCTATTTAATAAAGTAAAAAATATTACCTATTAATTAATAAAGTTAAAGATATAGTTAGATTTATTCTGTAAAAACAAAACACATAAGGCAAATTATTAATTTGATATTAAATAAATGAAGGTCTATATTAATTTAAAATATAAATTATTTTTTTAGTTTTATATATATGCATAAAACAGAGTTAGGTGAATATAAAATAAAATTATGTGATAATAGATATATAAGCATAAATAAAGAATTTAAGTAGCAAATAAAGTTTGTAGTATTATAAGGTATAATTTTATAAAGAGGTCTCAAAATTAATGATAATAAGATAGTATTTTTGTCATAAATTATAAAATGCAAAATAATTTAATATATTAAAAGCAGAATTTAATAAAGTAAATTTTGCTTTTACTTATAATATTTATAGAATATAAAAAATATACATTTAACAATATTTGAAAATAGCAATTTTACTGTAATATTTCTTTATAATACTTGTAAGTATAAACATAATCAAAAATAGTTTTTTGTATTTTCAAGAAACTCTAAATTATTTCATTGATTTACTTCAAAGTCAGATTAATACATTTATATAAGCTTTTGTGTTTGCTATTATTATATCAATATTTGTTCCATAACTATGATATGTATTTATTAATAATTCAGTTTTGATTTAAGAATAAAAAAAACATTCTTATAGTTTTTAATATTTTGTAACATATATTGAATAATAATCTTATTAATTATGTTTAAAATAAAAATAAATAATATATAAGTATGTTTTTTATAAAAATTTTAATATAGATTGTAATTTCAAATAATATACCTGACATAATTATTTTAAATACATGGTGTGTTTATTGTGATCCTTTTAGGTTTGTGAATTTGTTGTTCTTTTTTTGTATGATTGAATATCAGTTACCAACTTATCAATTCTTTCAAAGCTTTTTTGAACAGCTTGAGCCCATTTAATATTATCAGATTTTTCTTGTTTGTGAACAATTTCCAATGCACTCTATAAGATAGTTTTATATTTACTAAAAAGTTGTAATGACTTATCATTATGGTTTGAATTTGTTATGTCTTTCAAGATATCTAATTTATAGTTTAAATTAATTAATATATAGAATAAATTAATTAGTATATGCATATATGTATAATGTAATAGTGATACAATTATTACCTTGTTTTGAATTAAAGAATAAATTTTTTGTTGAATTTTCTGTTGAATCTTCTATCAAATCTTCTATTGAATTTTCAATAAAATTTTCTGCTAAATTGTCTTTTAAATTATTTAAAATTTGGTTAAGGGGTAAATATATAAAAGAATAAACTTCTTGTCACTTAATAGTATGAAAAAAGAATGGATTAATCTTAAAGGTAGAAGGTTGAACTAAATGTTTACATAGTATAAACTGGTTTTTTAAAAATGCCAAACAACTGCATATCCAATTTGCAGTATTTGTGAAATAAACATTATTAATTTCAGTTTGTTGCATAGTAATCCATTCTTTTTTAAAATTTTTTTGCCATGAAGCTTTTTCATGACCATTATAATATCTATCATATTGATGTAAATTATGAGAAATCATATGAGTAAGAATAATGTAGATTACTAAATCTAAGCAAGAATAGAAAAATTTTGACAAGTAATCCTACTTGATGACCTTTCAATGTGATTCACAAAGCATTGTTGTCTGAAATAAGCAAATTTTTTCTGGTATTCCAGATCTTGCCCACAAAATCCAAGATTCTTTTTGATACCAATTACACCACATATATGTCCAAACATATTGTAAATTATTATCAACACAGAATTTATAAATTACATATGTTGATTGTTACCATATTTCCTGAGCTGTTAAAAAATTTTCACTGAAATTAGGTATTAGAAGATGTAAAAGCATATGCTTTTCTATTATATTAATATTTATAGCTTATTCCTCTTTGGAACAGAAGCAAAAATTTTTTTTTTTGAATTTCATTTATTACTGGATAAAATTCTATATCAATAAAATCAAAAGCTTGAGCTGCTAAATAAGAACTATATGAAATAACTTTTGGAGATATATTATTTGCAAGACACTTTTTAAATCTTTTTTAATGTGCCATAAACAAATTTGTATTTTAGCATTTATTCAAATTTTTTGTGCAGCTGAAATTTGAGTATAATCTTTGTCTGTAAGAAAAAATTAAACAAAATTCAGTTCTAGATTATATAAAGTTTCAAAAAATAATGCTAAAATTTCTGTTGCAGCACCATCTTTTTTACTTTTTCTTTCAACAAATAGATACACTATTGCAAAACCAGAACCATTAAATTGACCAATAATTAAATAAACTTTATATTCTAATGCATTAGTTTTGTAAGTGAAATCTACAATTATTTCCTTATTTTTCATTAATTTTTCAAAGAATGAGGTTATAAAACCCAAATATCCAATTGTTTCAGTGCCACTATAAAGTATAATTCTATATCTACTTTTATTTAAAAAAATCTTAGCTGAATTTAGTTAATTTTCATTATCACATACATATTCTTTTTTAAGTAAAATTGACCACCATGCATGAATCTGCTTCTGCATCAAATTAGAATAAAAATTTTCTAAAATTTGATAGATTTCACTTGGACTAAGATGAATATTTTTTTTAATCTCTTCTTTGATTGTATTATTAACACCAAATCATTTTGGATATTTGTGTAGCATTAAATATTAAAAATAAATTGATACGATTTTAATTTTAGATTAAGAACAATTTTAATTTATCCATTACAGTCAAATCTATTAATTGGAATCCAATCTCTTTGATTTTCAATACATTCATACTTTCTAGGCTTTTTAGCAATTGATCACATTGAGAACAATTATATCAAATTGTAAAAATATTGCCTTTTGTTAAAAAATAACAATTCTTATAAATATAGTAATAACTATCTGCATTACCCAATGATTAAGCAATTATTTTAAATAATTTTTTTGGATCATCTTCATTTATATCAAGCAAAATATTATATATAAAATTGATTTCAGCTGATTTATTTTCTAAATATTCATTTGTATTAATTTGTAAAATTTGCTCATAAAGCTTATTTGATATTTTTTTTAGTAATAAAAAATCTGTTACTGATTCAGAGTGAAGAAACTGTTTATAATGAATAGAAGATTCAGAGTGATAAGAATAATAAGTTTTTGGTTTATATTTAGTTTTACTAGAAAACTTGTATGAAGGTAAGATTTTTTTACATCTTGTACATTTTTGCATATTCATTTTTTTATGATGGTTCAAAAAATAAAAAACAAACAAATATATATATATAACAATTGATGTAATAATTATAACATTTATAGCTGAGTTTTAAAGTTTTAAATTCGATAATGAATAATATATATTGTATAAAATATTTTAATAATATATATTTATTTGAAGTATATATTTTAAAACAAAGTATTAAATTTTATATATTTGAAATTTTATAATTACTTATATCTACCAAGTTCACTTTATTAGATTGCTTTATTAAATAATATATATAATATGTATATATATAGTATATATATTTTTTTTTTAAATATTAGTAGTAAGGCCATGCCTTTAACTTTATTGAAATTCAATTGAAGTTTTACAAAGAAAAGCTTGCTTTTAAATTACATATAAAGA